CGAGTGAACCTTCCCGAACAGGTTGCCTGGCGAGGCCCGGCCAGCCCAATGGCGTCATGCCGGTGCCTTCCTTTACCAAACAGATTTTGCAGGCATCCTGCTCACGTGACTGGTGTTAACTTGACGGAAAACGTCGCAGGCTTTCCTTTTACTTTGCGGCAAATACTCTCCTCGTCCGCTTCTCACAAAGTACAAACTACCGTCAGTCAGCTCTTCCCTGAGGTCGGTGGGCCTCCTGACTCGGCCTCATCGTGGAACGACTGACGTTCAGAAGCAGAGTGGAGGGCGCTTCCTGCCAGCTGGCGGGGCCTGCCGTGTGGGCAGCGGCCCTGCTCCCGGGGCCTTCCCTGAGAGAGACAGTCCGCCGAGTAGGATGCTCTGGCCGCAAGCGTGAGGGTGGGCCACTTTGCGGCACGGCTGGATTCCAGAAAGCCCCGGCCTCCCCGGCCTCCTCTCCCCCAGCCTCGGGGCTTCGCCGCTGGATGGAGCAGCGGCCCGGGAGAAGGGAAGGGGCTGGTCTCCCCCAGAGGCGAGGAGGGTGTGGGGTTGAAGAGGCCCAGGGAGGGGCAGGGTGGTGCCCGAGTGCTCCGAGCGGATCGCGAAGGACGAGCAGGTGCGTTTAAGGTCGGGTGACGTGCATCACAGGCGGGGACCCGAGTCATCGGTTGCCGCCTGCCCAGCTAACCACTTCGTGAATACAGACACACACGTCCTTCAGGACGTACCTGTTGATAATCGGCTTGGTGCTTTTGGAAAGCCGAGTGGCGATTTCACTGATGCTAAAAGTACTGACGGTCCTTTCCGCTGTGCTGAGATCCCTTGAATTAATCCGAAAGGATGTTGAGGGACTTCAGTGTCGAGAACGTGACGGCTGCTCATCCGCCGAGCGAGGGGCAGCCCATGGGGAGACCGTCGTTCTGCCCCCCACCCCATCTCAGAGCCACCTGCCCGCGCAGAAGTGGCCCCGGTGCTCAAGCGGCACTAGTAAACCCTCCGCCGTGGCCTGTCCTGTGAACTGAACTCACTTATAGAAGCCTAAATTCTTTCATCCGCGATTCCCAAATCCATAAAATCGCTGAAAACCAAAACGTTTCTTGGACTTCATCTGTCAACAAAACCGGACCTGACGCACCATGAATTTTTGTCGAAAAAGCCCCTGGGACGCGAGACTTGAAGTTAGGTGTCCCGGTGTGAACATTCCTGTTTCGCTGCAGAGATCCCAGGGGTACGGAGAGGAACGTGGCCGCGTCTTAAGAGTGTCACCCGCTCACTGTAAAGGAGAAACAGGCCGGGGCAGTCCCATGCACGGGGTGCCATGCGGCTTTCGTGTCCTCGGGTTTCTGTGGGAGCTGGCCGCCCCACAAAGGGGGTCGCTGGGATGAGGTGGCCCCGGCCTGTCCTGACCGCAGCTCCGCCCTGCCTCCCCCTCCCCCAGCCTTCAGCCCCTCTTCCCCGGAGCCAACGAGCTGGACCAGATCTCAAAAATCCACGACGTCATCGGCACACCTGCGGAGAAGACTCTCACCAAGTTCAAACAGTAAGTGCGTGTGCGCCCCGGGGCCCCAAGTGGACCTGCCCCCTGCGGGGGCTGCTGGGGGGAGCCAGTGGGGTGGGGGGGCGGACCGGGCCCCACCTCTGCTGCCCTCGTGGCTCCTCCGTCTGCCTGGGTCCCCGCGGCCGCTGAAGGGGCCCCAGGTCGGGCTGGTGTGAGCACCGAGCCGCTCGGAGCTGTCTCCCCCCACCCCGGGGGTCCCGCCAGGGTGCCCCTCCCTAGGTGCCAAGGGAGATGCTCCTGGCCTTGCTGAGGGCCTGGCCATCGGGTCCCGTCCTCTGAATAGTGACCCAGGACCCAGGGACCTCTGGGTGGAGAGGGATGCCACGTGCAGGCGGTGCGCAGTGAGCTGTGCCCAGAGCTCACCCAGAGCTGCCAGCCACACTGACGCCCACACCGGCACTGGTTGCTGAATCCGGGGAGCCGGGGGCCTCCGAGGGGGAGCCCCGTGGGCTGAGGGGGTGGGCAGCTCCTGGGCCCTTGGAAGGCGAGGAGGTGACAACTAGTTTGAATTCTTCCTTTTTCTGCTTATAAACTTTACATCATTTTTCTCAGGTGGGCACGTGCTCTGAGTCTTTTGGGGGGAAAGTCATTTTCTCACACTGATAGCATAACAGATTTCACAACCCCTGCCCTGTTTTTAAAAACGAGACTTTACTTTTCTAGAGCGGTTTTAGGTTCGCCGCAGAACTTAGCGGAAGGTACAGAGTTCCCTTGTACCCCGCTGGGGCACACGCAGCTTCCCCCTGCGCAAACCTCAGCCAGAGTCCATAAGCCTCCGGTGACACATCATTGTCGCCTCCACAGCTCGTGTGAGGGGCCCCTGGGCTGTTGCACTTTCTCTGGGTTTGGACAATGGTTCCGTCCCGCCCCCTTCTCCGTGCGGGTCCCTGTAGGATCATGACGACGGCTGGCCAGGTGCTCTACATAATGGCATGATCGTTTATTGTCATTGGGCTTTCAATACAGGTCGAGAGCTATGAGTTTTGATTTTCCTTTTAAAAAGGGATCAGGAATACCTCTACTGACAGCCAATTTGTCCCCGAAATGCCTCTCCCTCCTGCACGCAATGGTGGCCTACGACCCCGACGAGAGAATCACTGCCCATCAGGCCCTGCAGCACCCCTACTTCCAGGACCAGAGGTGGGCTTTCTTGGGCCTCCTTGTGGTAGGAGGAGCTGGCTGTGGAGACCTGGGGGGCACGTGGTGGGGCAGCTGTGTCCGGGAACAGCTCTGTCCTGAACTCGGGGGCCCCGGGAACATACACTTCGATCTTTTCTGGAACGGCCTCAGCGACTCCACAGCAGGGTCTAAGGGGGGCGGTTCTGTGGCTGCGCTGTGGCTGGTGCCCAGGCTCCGGGAGGGGCCCGGTGCACGTCGGTGTCGACCGGGGGATCTCGCCGTAAGGCTTGGGGGTGCTGGCACTGGAGTACCTGCCCGAGGGCGTCTAATTCTGCTCCTCCCTGTGCTCCAGCCGGTGTGAGCGGTGCGAGTGCAGGTGACGTCTGACCCAGACCTCCCGGGGGACAGGGCCCACGGTGCACGGGGCCCTCTCCTCTCCCAGCCCAGAGACCGGCAGGCCGACACAGAGGACGGAAAAGGCTCCCGGAACGGTTGACGTGGAAGAGGCGGTGACGAGGCAGAATGGTTGTGCTGCGCACGTTCTCAGGGGCCACTGCCCTCTCTTCCTTCCCCACAGGGCAGTGGAGAAGCAGGCTCTGGCCAGCCACAGGAAGTCCGTCTTCTCAGAGTGCCCCGTGGCTCCGGAACTACTCCTTAACGGCTGGCAGACTTCAAAGGAGGGCAGCAAACAGGTACTAAGTGAAGTCGGGGAGCTGGAAATGGTCTCGGTAGCTGGGACCCGATGCCCTCAGGTGGCCTGCGTCCCCACGGAAGACACCGCCCTCGGCAGGTGCAGGGAGCCGGGCTCCGGTCGTGCCTGCCCTTTCCGTCCCGCTGGCCAAGGGGAGACGGCGGGTGCGGCACCCCGTGTGCACGGGCCTGGCGAGGTGGGACTATCCCACGCGTGGGTGCCAGGTTCTCTGCCCATGCACTCTGCCGCTGTCATCTGCCTGTGCCCCCTGACCAGCACAGGGCACAGGCCACACTGACCCAGGTGACCCAGCTGGCGAGTGACCGGCCCCAGCCACCACACGGCCTCAGACGTCCACACGGGTGCAGCGGGTCCGGGTGAGCACCGGTCTGGGCCCGGATCGGTCGCTTTAGAAACGGCACCTTCCTCTTGCAGTCTTGTCGTCCTCAGGTGCCCCACGTCGCCCCAGCTCTCAGCTCCCTGGTCCCACGTTCTGGGCTGGCCCCACGCTTCTTGAGGACTGTGCCCTCCGTCACTCACCCCAGCATTTACTGAGCGTCGGTACGTGCCAGGAGCTGAGGCCATGGGTGTGGCTGCCGCCAGGAGGCTTTCTGGAATTCTAGGCTGCTGCCTGATACTCCCCCGTGGTGCACAGGCCGAGTTGTTCAGACCCGGTCTCCCGGTCTTTCCCCCCAGACCTGCTTTTCTCCCCATGCCTTCCCTTTAAGTGGGGGAGGCATCCCCCTCTCGGCAGCTCCCCACCCCCCACCTGAGCCTCCCTCATTTCACCTCCCAGCTGCTGTCCCTGCTCTGCCCTTCCCTCCTGGCCGACACCTGTCCGACCGCGTCACTCCTGTTGGCACTCCCGAGGGCTGCGCGTGTCTACAGGGGCCGTGCGGTAATAAGCCTTCCCAGCTTTGTGGGCCGTAAGGCCCTGTCACAACCGCCCTCTTTTCTCTGGTGCCTTGGATGATCCGTAAATGAACGGTGGGGCTGTGTTCCAATAGGACAATCTCCACTGAGACGGGAATTTCCAATAGTTGTGACATGACGTGAAGTTGTTTTCAGCTTTTGAAAAATGTAAAAAAATTCTTAGCACGTGAGCCACACGAAAGCAAGGCCGCGGGCAGATTTGGTCATTGTCAGGGAGTTGGAGTGGGGACCCTGAAGCTGCGTCACCGGCTCAGCCCAGGCTGGCGCAGGGCCAGCTGGCCTTGACGACTCGACTCGGCGCAGAGGCCCTGCCGCCCCCTGCTGGGCACGGTGACCAGCCCTGTCACTTGGGGGCTGGGAGTCTAGTCACCGCGTGGTCAAACCTCTGGGTCAAGTTAGATTAGGCGAAAGTCGTGCAAAAGAGCCCCTGTTGTATTTCCCGATTTCCATAAGGGGGACACCATTGCACGTTCAACGGGCCTGTGTTTTGTTTCAAGAAACCGTCCCTAAAGCCAGAGGAGGACCCTCCCACGAGACAGGGACCCGCCTGCCTGATGCAACTGCCCAAACTGAAGCTTTCGGGAGTGACCGAACTGGCCTCGTACCCCAGCCCCGTGCTGCACTCCGTGTTCGGACCCGGAGCGAACAGCAAAGTCCCGGTGCCGAGGCCCCTGAAGTTTGTCGGCACAAACCAGAAGGTAGCCTGTCTCGATAGCGTCCCTCCGCTCGCCGCCCCGGGCCCGTCCTGGCCTCCGCTCAGTGTCTGCCCTTTCCTCTGACAGGCAGACCCGCAGAAGGACGTGAAGCCTAACCTGAAACAGTGTCGTCTGCCCTCAATAGGGAGGAGAGGCGGCCGCTACTGAGCAGCGCGCGCCGGTCGCCTGCCGGGGGCACGGAACCAGGTGCGGCCGGGCCGCCGCGATCGCCTCTGAGCCTTGGGTGGAGGGCTCCGGGGAGAGCCCCGTCCCCCTTCGCGGAGCCTGGCGCCCCGAGAGCGATGCCCCGCTGGCCAGCCGGAGCCCGGGATCTGCACCCCGAGAGCGGCTGTGCTGTGTTCCTGCCGAATACGTTCGTCAGACCACCTCATTCGGGGCTTTGGTTTCATTCTCGTAACGTAAGAACTGGGGGTAAAGAATATTTTGTAATTTTTTATCTGAATCCGAAGAGAAATCCGAATTTATATTATGTGTTTAGGCTCGGTGTCGCCGCGGCTGTGTGCGCGGCGCCTCCAGGACATCGCCGACGGCGCCGGGCGCGTGACGGCGTTACAGACTGTGCTGTCGGAGCTTTATTAAAGAATAAGTGTCGTTACGACATTTGAACACTTCCTGACTTTAACACGTGTCCTGACCAGCCGTCTCTCTGCTTTAGGTTTTGTGAGCATATTTGGGGAATTTATTTTGTTGGGAAGACCGGTACGGCTTAATTTTGTTGCGCTTGAAAAGCCCGTAAGGAGTAAACGCAGGCCTGGCCTGGGTGCCGAGGCAGGGAGGCCGCCCAGCAGGAGGCTCGTCGGCGCAGGCTTCACAGCTTCCTCCCGTGAGTAGAGCGCGCTGCTCTCCGTGTGGGAACGATGCCTTCTTTCTTCGTCCCCACAGACTTACGATGTTAAAAAAAAAAAAAAAAAGGAAAAAAGAAAAAGAGCAAATTTCCCAGGTTAGTTTCAGTCTTCTTGTTCCCTCTTTTGAGACAAGTCTGTGACAGGCTGGTCATCGTCAGGGAGGTAGAGTGGGGAGTGGGGACCCTGGAGCTGTGTCACCGGCTCAGCCCAGGCTAGCGCAGGGCCAGCTGGCCTTGATGACTCGACTCGCGCGGAGGCCCTGCCGCCCCCTGCTGGGCACGGTGACCAGCCCTGTCACTTGGGGGGCTGGGAGTCTAGTCACCACGCGGTCAAACCTCTTGGTCACGTCCTCTCCGGTGGCCGCCACCTCTGGACCCGAGTCACAGGTGGTGGAGCAGGGCCCGGCCTCACAGGACAGTCGGCAGGTGGACGCGGGTGTGCGAGGCAGGGGGGGTGCGGGCCGAAGGGGGGCAGAGGCGCCCAGGAAGGGCAGAGTCAAGACTAGAAACAAGACTTGGGGGATGTTGAGAGCTGGGTGCACATGGCGAGGGGTTGAAGAGAGCTTCCTTTGACCCCATTTAACACCCTGGCGGGCTGTCCGATGCCCTGCTGTGCGGGCGGGCAGGGCACCGTTCTGCCTCTGTGGGAGGATCCGGGAGTTCCGAGGCCCGAGGGAGCTGAGGCAGGGAGGCCGGGGAGACGGGAGCGGGCGCCGGGATCGCAGAGGGCCCCGCTGTGGGTGAGCCCAGGCGGGGAGGCGCCGGGGAACCAGGCCCCCAAGGGCCAGCGGCTCAGCAGGGACGGGCTCCTGTCCTCGAGGACTGGCTCCACGGCAGAGTTGAGGAAAACTCTTACCCCCTTTAAGGGTGTAAAATTTGAGGGGAAAATCTTTAACATTCTCCCGCATGACTTTCTGAGAAAGCAAACTTGCCCCTCCCCACGGAGGGCCTCTCAGGCCAGGCCCCCGCGGGGTGTGACCTGTCCACCAAATGAAGCTCTTTTGGCTCAACGTTGGTCTCTGGAATAAAAGTGCCGTGAAGCAGCCACACCAGGCCCCAGGGTGGCCCCGGCTGGCCCAGCCCTGCGCCAGAGCGACTCCCCCGTCCCGCAGATTCGGAGCGCGGGAAGGTGCTGCCGGGAAGGTGCTGCCGCACCCCCTGGGTGCCCGCACGCAGCGGCCCGCTCTCGGCCCGGCGGTGGGCATGGGAGGCCGCGTCCGCCTCCGCTCGCTCGCGGCTGGGCAGGCGCTGAGGGAGGCCGCCTGAGCCTTTGCAGGCAACGCTATTAAAGGGCTCCCGGGCACGGGAGTTGTCGCCGCGGGCCCCCAGGAGGGAAGTGGGGTGGAAGTCCTGCTCCAGCACCCCGTCCACCTGGCTCACCCGCTCCCAGCACGGGAGGGGACCCCTGGGGCGCGGGCACACACAGCCGAGGTGCGGCCAGCCGTGCCGGTCCAAGGGTTCCGATTCTGACAGCCCTGAGCGGCACAGTCCTGCTTGTGGAGGAGGAAAAGCAGAGGCGATGCCACCGAAGCGACCTGGGCTCTGCTGCCCCCCGCTGCCGGGGACACCCCTGGGCGTGCGCCGTTTCCTCCGGCCGGGCCACGTGGCCGGCCCGCAAGCTCGCTGCAGGGCCGAGGGCTGAGCTAGAGTCTCCCTGGAACGCCTTCCTCCCCTCAGCTTCCCTGAGACCGGTCCCCACACTCGGAGAGTGCGCTCACCAGCTCCAGAAGCGTCGGAAAGCTCGAGGCAAGGGAAAGCAAATACAAAGCGGATCAGGCCGGCCAGGCCTACGCCCAGCCCGCCTCCTTCCCTGGCGTGTGAGAGCGTGACGGGCCGGAGTCTGGCCCGGGTGCCACGTGCCCAGGGCCCGCTGCAGGCTGCACGTCCGTGGTGGCCGTGCCAGTGTGTGGCAGTCACGAGGCAGTCCGGTTTTGGAAGCCAGCTTGGACCATGGGGCCGGGAGCCGACGTTGGGACACGGCTGGCCGTTGACTCCAGAGCCCGACCGAAGGGTGACCACAGACGGTGGACCGAGCGAGGCCTGCCCACTTGGAGGGCCGTGACCCGTGGGGCCGGTGAAAGCCGGGAGCACGGCCAGGCTCTCTGACCGTGCCCGAATTTTAACGGTTGTCCTGGGCCCAGCCAGGCCTCCACCTGTCCCTTCACAGGAAGAGGAGACGACCCCGGGGGGGGTCACAAGAGGAACTCTGGACTTCATTTTCCAAGACGGCCCTTGGTGACCCTGCAGCAGTCCGTGGGCCTCCTTGTGCGTCTCTGGACCTGCGGGGCTGGGGTTCTGTGCGTCACCGACAGCGCCTGGAAACCAGCACTTTGACCAAGAGGGCAGACGCCAACTCTCTGGGACGTGCTGTGTTTTGTTTTTTTTTTTAATTTTTTTTTTTTTAACGTTTATTTATTTTTGAGACAGAAAGAGACAGAGCATGAACAGGGAGGGGCAGAGAGAGAGGGAGACACAGAATCGGAAACAGGCTCCAGGCTCTGAGCGGTCAGCACAGAGCCCGATGCGGGGCTCGAACTCACGGACCGTGAGATCGTGACCTGAGCTGAAGTCGGACGCTTAACCCACCGAGCCACCCAGGCGCCCCAGGGACGTGCTGTTTTAATGCGCAGGTCGTACCGGATGTACAGGATACATAAATCGATTGTTTCACTTAAAACAACAGGGTGTCCGTGCTTCCTGGTATTCACCTTCCCCAAAGTGCACGTCCCTGGGACCCAGAGGCTCCGTGAGCAGCTGTACCGGGCCTCTCCTCTGAGAAGCAGCCACGGCCTGGGGTGAAGCATCGGTCCTGTCGCTGCACTCACAGGAACGATGAAAACCGTGCACATCTCGAAGGGCGTACGCTCGCTTTTCCCCCTAGGTCGTGTGGGCAGTGCCCCAGACTAATGTGCTCGCTTAGAGAGATGCGAGTCACACGCTCCTGGTTTACGGCCACACCAAATAAAAATGCCTTCAGGGGGTGCAGCTGCGTACGGCTTTTTAAAGCCGAGAATGTTCTGCCTGGCCGCTGCACTTCACCGCGGTTCTCTCGCCTGTGGAGTCGACGAGTGTTTGTGGCGCGACCTCCGCGCAGAGCCGTTCCTGAGCCGGTTTCCACCAAACACAAATCCTGCACGGTCCCGGGGCCCTCAGTCCCCATGGCGAACGGAGCCCTCCACGCTCCCCAGAGGCCGACGGACGGACGAGCGCTCACGGGCTTCCAGTGACAACAGCCGGGCCTTAGAGCCGGAAGGAAAGAACGATTCGCCGGAACCCGTCCGCACACGTGCAGGCACCCACGACGGCCGTGACGGTGAGCCTGAAGACGGGGCCGCGGAACTCTCCAGCTGAGCTGCGCTCGCTCGAACGGCCCGTCCTGGCCGGGGCACTGCCAGCAGAGAGGGCTTCCGGGAACGTGGTGGAAAAAGGTAATTTTATGCCAAACTTTAATTGAACAAAAGGTTACATTAAAAGCGGAGCCGACTTGGGGCGCCTGGGTGGCGCAGTCGGTTGAGCGTCCGACTTCAGCCAGGTCACGATCTCGCGGTCCGTGGGTTCGAGCCCCGCGTCGGGCTCTGGGCTGATGGCTCGGAGCCTGGAGCCTGTTTCCGATTCTGTGTCTCCCTCTCTCTCTGCCCCTCCCCCGTTCATGCTCTGTCTCTCTCTGTCCCAAAAATAAATAAACGTTGAAAAAAAAAAAAAAAAAAAAA